TCCAATCAGTTTTTCTACTCACATCAGTTACAGTGGCGTACACCGTTTGGTGATCATGATGCCAGATAACGACGTAGAGAAGTATGTGTCATAAGGGCAAAAGGATGACACGTGCAAAAGATTCTCAGTTGATAATTGCGTCTGCTTTAAAGCTTTCAGTTCCCAGATTTATAAAACCAATTTACCAAAAAAAGTACGAATTAGGTAACCGTAAGTTCATTGAACTATGCCATCCTCTAAGGGAAGATCATTCATCGAGTGAAAAAGTACAAAACAAAGTACTCAGGATGTTCATATTCATTTTCCTATTGTTTGAAATATGCATTGGGTTAATTTTTGTGGCTCTTGTTGTTAAGAAACTTAAAAAGCGTGATCAATTTTCTAACTTTGAAACACCATTTGCCGACAATGAATTACATTTCTTTGATTTTACTGATTAACTTTGCCTTCACGAAAATTTAGAAAACTTTCGGAATGACATCTTTAAAAACCAAGTTTAAGAGAGAAGTGTTACTGATGTTGGATGCAAAAAAAAAGAAAAAAGAAAAAGAGAAAGAAAAGGCCATATGGGTTGGAATTTTAATAAACAGGATGAGTGATGTATTCAATATTCTTTGGGAAACATCATCGCGGATGAAATCTCTATCCTAGTTTCTTTCCACTTTAATATCAGGAGACGTTCCGGTACCTTTAAAGAGCTCGATAATTTACTTTCAATTGCAACATAGACATGCAGGCACGTTTAGCACAGACACGTTAATCCTTTTCAGTAAAAAAAAAAAGGATTTCTGATTCTTCTCTCAGTGTATCACAAACAATGTGTATAAATATATATCGTATACATATCGATTTATTATTTTCCTCCTGTGAATCAATCTTTGCAACCATAAGGATGAAAAAAGAACTTATTCGGGCGGGAACGAGTGGAGCGCTATTTGAAAAGAGTACTGCGTTTTTCCTTAGAATCTCGCAATCGTTCAGATCCACTAATTTTTTTTTATCAAAACTACCTCGAGCTGACCTTAATTTTCTTGCACAATAAACGTGCACAATATTAATTTATCCCTGACGAGGAAAATAAGGAAAATCTTATTTTTCAGATTGTTGCTAGCGTTGATCCTAAAAAATATACATATAAATGGATAAAGCAATACAAAACATATTTGAAGAAGAAGAAAAGGAAAGCTTCTCTTATGAGCAATTTCTGCCTAACGAACGCTTTCGGAAGTTAAGTATTGTAATTCAGTGTTTCTAAAGCAACTGAAATTCCCCTGAACGATTTTCGCCGTCGGTGTGCGATCGTCTATGTATGACCCCGCCATCAGCGACTTCAAACTGAGCACATTTGTTTGTGGAAATTGCGCTGACATTGTCACGTTCAGCCAGTTGATAAAAACATATTGACCAAATCGTTCCAAATTTTGGGCTAATGAAGTCGACACTCGAAGAATTTCAGGGTATATCCCCGTAATGAAATATGTATTCTGCTAAGGTGCAAGATCACAATTATTTGCACACACACAATGCAGACTATTTTCATTGCCGACGCCTGCATTATCAGAAACTCGATCGAGCCGCAAAATGCATGTCCCTTATCACCTCGCAATCTATGTCATAACGTCGGCCTGTGGAGCTAATTTGCTCTTGTGGTTGAAGGCTAAAATTAGATATCTTCCACATCATTCTGACAAAACAGAATTGACAATGCTGAAAAGTGAAATTATTAAGCACTGTTTTCATTTGTCGTTTTTCTGCGTGTATCTAGCTGTGCCGGTAAGATAATAGATAACATCAAGAACGCTGCCCTTTTGCCTTTCCTTAGAGTATATCCTGTATAGCCGAATGTAGTGGCCTACGTTCCATCCGTGATCAAGTATCACTTGGCTCTTTGAAGAACAAATTCAAAGTGCAACATTACCTTGGCTACGTTGGACGTTCAGTCAACAATCTCACGTCTCCTGACCAGTCCTGAGTTGTTCTGTTCTAATATAATTGAAGAATTTATCTCTTGGAGGAAGTCGGTGAGTAATTCATAAATAAGTTAGAAGCATATTGCAGCCAGGAATGGCTATTTCTCACCATATAATTGTCCTAAAATTATTTTCGTCCGAAAATTTTTCCCAGTGACTCTGTTATGGTCGTGGCCAAAATCTGTGTCATCATTGCATTTAGTTATCACGCATCAATTTGAGTGGAAAGCATTCTTCATAATGTATATATCTGGTACGAAAAGGAATACAAAAAATACGCCGTTTGCCTTGAATATTGGTAATTGTGGATCGGAATTGAGGCAATTAGACTTGTCAAAGATAAAATATGGGGGAAGATTAGTCGTTTGCACAGTTAGAAATCTTCTGTTAACATCAGGTATCCGTAAAACCCAACGCAAATGCCAAACCATTAAAATTTCCCACCACTGATCATTGATTATCATTGACGATCATTGATAATCGTTGGAAAAATCTAATCAAAATGTTCCATTATGGCTCTCAGGAATTGTAGATTGACAGCCGGGTATCTAAAATGCAATCTCTGGAAAATATCACGATCCAAACTACCTTTTAACCGCACCTGGCTTAGTGACAAGAGAGGTGACCCACGGAGAGAAGGGCAACAGCCTACGGCACTATTTGAATTAAAAAAGAACGGCTTTAGTTTGGAACATTTTCCGGGCATGATAACATTGTCTAGACGGAACTTTCCTTCACGCGCCATCTCACGTGGACCGATTTCAATACAATTATATCGATAATCTTGTTACAAGGCTCTTTGCGCCACACTTTGTTTTATCTTGCTAAGATAAATGAAAGTGAATAATGGATAAATTGAAAGAAAAAGCGACAAAGATCCCATGCCTGTCTTTCCTCTAAGACAAAAGGGTTGACCTATAAATAGATGGGGCAATTGCCAACAGTACAATGAACATCTTACAGCCCAAACGACAAAGACCATCACGATCTTTTTCCCCTCATATGGATCACCATGAAGTATCGAGACTGTTCATCGGTAATAGACTTTCATTTTTAGATATAAGTAATAAGACTTTCAACGATTCGTTTGCAAGCATATAATCAATCGAATTTCAAGTGCTTAAAATGCGTTTGGTGTTCACGCATTTTCATGGCACGGGAAAAAACTTTGCAGGGATTTGAAAGTCTTAATGCAAGGTAAAGTTAAAGAAAAAACGTGAATTCAAAAGGAATTTTTGTTCTTTGTATTAGTATAATACAGCTTTTGCCTGGCATCGTATTCTTTGAACTGAGATCAAAAGATTTGAAAATAAAGGAATAAAACTCTTCCTCTTCGTAAACTGACAGTTTTGATTATGTGCTCGTTTGGAAAAGTTCATCATAAGCGTATCACGCGCTACGGATACATATGTTTATATTTAAATTTTCTCCTGCATTTCCCGTGAAAATATCTTTGCAACGACAGGAATTACAACCTGACTATCTCCATCCATTAAGACAATTTATGCTACTCACTTGAAACTGAGACAGACGACCAGTTACGACTTACAAAAAGACGAAAAAGTAATAATTCGATTAGTATGACGTAAACTGCATATTCCATTAGTGAGAAAAAAAGCTTGGCTTAAAAACAAAAGGAAAAGATACAGGATTAATCTCCAGACTAAGAGACTGGTGCGCTGCTGTTCCTCTTTTTTTTTAAAGAAATAAATTACCATTGAGGTGTCGGATGACAATAAACGTCGTTATGTCAAAGCAGATTGTGCAAAGCTTCAGCGATCGCGTGCAATGTTCGACAAAAGTGTGCTTTGAGGTAAGTGCACGTGGACTTAATGTCAATAGATAGAGTAATGGGATTTAGAGGGAAATTAGAAACTTAACACTAAAGCTACGAAGGGATGGATTTTTATGCCCTGACGTACAGTTCTATGGTCATTTTGACCCTATGCGCTGCGTTTCTTTCTGAAATATATGTATTCTGTTTCATCTTTAAATTATTTACTTCCACCTGGTGGAAAAGCAAGGAAACATCCGGCCAGACGAGAACTTTAATACTGCGTCTCTACAAAAGCGGCAAAACTGTTTTAAGTTTATCAAGTCGGTCATAATGTTTCTGTACAAGAGCCGAAGCTTAGCAATTCATGATCAGTGTCTATATTTACGTAAAATTCTTAGGGTAGGGATATGCTCCGCAAAAGCTATGGACCATGAACGAGCCAAAGAGGAAAAAAACAATAAACAGCCGTACGCTAATTACATGCACCACGTACAACTTCCATGATTGCATTTGTTTCTTAAAAGTGAAAGCCCCAGATCCTCACGTTCCGCCCATGAGTGCCCTCAGTTACATAACAATGTGAAAAAATGTATCTACAGTATGTGGAAAGAGAAATGGACTTAAACTAGCAGGTGAAAAAAAAAACAGACAAAAAATTGCAGCAATCTTACAAAATTTGGTTCAGCTGTCCTAACAGCCTTTTGTAGGAGTCATGGAAAGAGTTTGTTGCATAATAATCAGCACAGACGCACATGTTTCAGGCGTGAGTAGCCGTGCTTCATTCGCAAGTGCCGCTGGCGTGTAGTATTGTGTTTTGTGTTTCCTATTTGCCTCCAGAGATGGAACACAAATGAGCTTTAATTAAAAAATAAACTTAATGTATATATTTTAAGTTTGAAAGGCGTTTATTGTCTTTTTCTGCAATGGTGATAACTAAAGTTGCTGTTTCCGAAAAAATATATCATGTAAGAAAGGCGTTTCCGAACTAATCGATAAATACCATGGTAACCCTATAGGTCACTCTTAAAGGAAAGAGGAAAAAAAAAAAGAAGATTGTAGCACAATCTGCGATATAGATTTTTTTGAAAGATTTAGCCGTTTTCTGTATTCCTTCGTCAAGGTAATGACGCCTACGCCTCATAACATACGCCAAAGTTAATCAACAAACCTATTGTGGAACGCTTAATGCCTTCAACAAGGAAGTCATTTCTGTCCTTACACTTGCGATGAAGGATTATATAAGTTAATCCTGTTTCCTTTGTTTTGTTTGCCAACACAGTGTGCATGGTTATTCCTTACGTCAATCGCAGCGCTGAGAAAACCAAGGCCATTTCATCTAGAATTGAACAAGTTTCGAAGCCCTTAGAATTAAATGCTTAACCGGTGAAATCGGAGGTCTACGTCCTACTCTAAACATTGTTGCAGTACTGGTGCAAGAAATGATGGCGAACTCCAGCCTCAATAACAATTCATCGGATGCTTTTGGTAACCCCTCGCAAGTGTTTACATCATCAAGCGAAAGCTTTGAGTTTAAAGTCATCAAACTTTTCTTTTATGCCTTGATTTTCCTATTAAGCGTCTCTGGGAATACTCTCGTCTGCTCTGTTATCATAAAAAGACGCCGAATGCGAACTGTCACTAATTATTTCATACTAAACCTCGCAGTGGCTGACCTGGCAATAACCTGTGTCTGCATTCCGTTTGACATACCAGTTCAAGAAAATAATTACAGATGGATTTATGGTTCTCTGATGTGCAAGCTTTTGTATCCTCTGCAAACTATTGCTGCGCTTGTTTCCATCCTTACTTTAGTGGCTGTGAGTCTTAACCGGTTTTGGGCGATTGTCTACCCGCTGCGAAGCCAGCTTACCAAACCACGTGCAAAAGCTATCATTTCCGCAGTATGGGTGTTATCAACATTGATCACTCTTCCTTATATCTTAGTGTTGCGCCTTGACGAAAATGTAATGAGCTGCGAAGAAATCTGGCCTAAGAATTTCAATTACCGGAGAGCTTACACCTTGTCACTTTTCCTTGTTCAATACGTAACTCCTCTGATGATTATGGCCTTCGCGTACCTTAAAATCGCGCACGAGATGCGCAAATGCGTTCAGAAAACTGATTTGATTAATTCTGACCGAGTCCTCGTGGACTCGCAGCGTCAAAAAGAGGCGAGGCGTGTTGTACGCATGTTGGTCGTAGTCACCACTCTCTTCGCTGTCTGCGTTCTGCCGAATAATCTCATGTGGCTCTGGCTGGATTTTGGAAACGGAGCAGAGTATGAACATTTCTGGGATTTGGTCGCCGTGACAAACATTATACTATTTGCCAACAGTGCAGCTAACCCAATAGCCTACACTCTTTGTAACGAAAACTTCAGAGATGAATTTCGGCTTTACTTATCATGCGATCGAGAGATGTATAAGTCGATCCTGGCGATATCCTCCCCTCAAAAAACGACCTGCTTGAGTTATACAGAAGTACTGATACAAGCCCAGAGGCAATCGGCGAAGGCGAAAAAGCTAAACCAGATACTGAAAGAGACTCGAGAAACTGATGTGTAACACAACTATCCAAACTGATACCGCGATCGTTTCCTGATAGATAACTACTTTTCTGTAATTTGATTAAGGAATGGTAAAAGAAGATCTTCCCCTTGGAAACTATTTTATTTTAATTTCCATGATTGAGAAGTATGTGTTTCAATGAAATACTTGTGAGAGGATTATCACAACCTTTCTAAAATTGTCTGAAAATATGCTTAATGTATTCCTGAAATAGACAATGTGCAGCCACATGTAAAATTAGGAAAAAGGTTATTCTCAGGATGAAAAGTCATCGGCTAAAAAAAAAACACATGTAAAGCAGAGAGCTTGAGATAGCCTTCCACGTTCTCTCCTCAAAAAATGAGAAGTAAGCAAGAAATATGCTTATTAGAAAACATTCGGATCGATTGCTTCAGTGGAATTAAATAGTTTTATGTCACTGACCCGTAATCAGACGAGTAAGTGCCCATCTTGAGCTTGACCTTGACATTTGCATGTGTCAAGAAAAAGAGGGTTAAAATGGCTTATACAAATGGAACAAATATGGAGAAAATACAGAAACTCACGAACATAAATGCTATTAGTTCAATACTTCGCAATTTTTAATCCGTAACGATTCGATTAAAATATAATCTTGTTCAGCCAATAATCGTCTTTGACTCATATGAATATTGTAAATAAATTTAGCAGAATCACGAAACAGCATATTTGAGAGAATAGTCAAGTGTTCTGTTGCAAGAGTCCATGCCAAGTATGCTTCTAGTTTAGAATATTTTCACAATGTGATTTTAAAAAACTTTGAACAATTTAAACAAAGCGTCCCAAGTTTTACTTCTGTAATTAGGCTGGAACTTGATAAGTTCACCTGAGCAGACCATTTCAATTGAACGGCCAAGGACGTTTTTTTATCTCCCATTAAGTCGGCTCGTCCACAAAACATGCACTCTCCATAAAATGTGAAATTTCGCCATTTTTTTAACATTCTTTTTGCGTGGAGTTGTTTCAACGGATTTATGTCTGATCCTAGGTGACCAATATCGTTTGTTCTGTCAACCAATCTATCACTTTCTCGTTCCTAAAAGTGTGGTATTTTAATTGCAATTTACTGTAGTACTGCTGTTTATTCGAACGACGTCATAAGTTAGGCCGTTTCTTTACTTAGAAAGCGTTGCCTATTCATAACTAACTTCTTGATCGTTGCTATTCACAGCCGACTGCAATGGTAGAAATCCGAGCACAATTTTATCTCTTGCTGAAACCCAAATTTATGGATTGAGTTTATGTTGCTATATGTCCTAAAAATTTAAAATGTATAAAAAAAAAATTAAAAAAAAACGGAAGTGTACCATCAATTCACTGTGATCAGGAGGAGGTAGAAGTATGCTTATCGAGAGTTATAATTGTTTGGCTCTTTCGCCGTCGTTATTAACATCCAAAAGAAAATTTCTGAAAAATATTCTGTGTTAGCACACAAATTATTGCACTGGTTTGTTTGGCATTAGAGAAGACTTGAGGTGAAAAAATGTACGAAGTTATATGTTTACATCGTGTATCAGCAAGGAATGTTAAAACTAATCATGATCTTTAATAATAGTATGTCTTGAATATGTACATAAAAAAGTAAAAAGTTTAGATTTCCGCATGATTCGTGGGCCTCACGATAACTGACCGATGTAGCTGAAAAGACCGAAAAGAAAAATCACCTTAAAGTAATTTTAAAATTTCCAATGGTCGTTAGAGAAATCAAGGCTGAAAAACCGCCTTGAAACGTGTCGATGTTTTAAAATCTGATTGAAAACTATGATTATCCTACAGGAACAGTATAATTATCGCAATTAACACACAGTAAACTAACAATTTACAGTTCACTCACACTTTCTTGAAGTTCTATATTTTGTAAACAAAGATATAATTTTCATTTCTATTTCATCTAAAACCTGAATATTAAGCGAACAATTTGTTCAATTGAAAAGTAATATATAAAACACAAACATGATTAAGTATTACCGCCAGAATTCTTCCTCACACGGAGTATGTTTGTCTCAAAGATTTTAGCATTTTTTAATCGGCCAGAGGACAACGAAATTAGGCTGTGCCTACTTAAAATTTAGCTTCCAAGAGACCAAGACAATTATAGGAAGAAACATACCCACAAAAAAGCTTCTGGAACAAACACTTATTTCAGTGGGTAGGGCGATAACGAAAAAAATACTGAAAATTAATTCAAGCGCCAGAGAACGTTGGTGTACAAGGACATTTTCAGAGCAACTATTTTTATCACAATATGTCGGTGTAAATCACGTTTCAGATGTTAACTGAAAAGGCGCCTTCTGTTTCCACAGTGTTTTTCTTCACAGTTCACTATTAATTTTCACCGTTGAGTGCTCGCGCCGTATCATTTGCAAATTAAAAATTAGATAAAGCTTCTGTGTAGCGAACTTTGTAATTGGAGATTTGATTGGTTTCTGTCGTTATTAGAACGTTTAACGGGAATTAGCAACTTGATCAAGAAAATCACTTTTCCTGTTTTATGATTCTGACAAAAATGTCATTCGAGAATATATCACATTGGTTTCATAACATAATACCACGTCACAGGACACACTTAACGAGAAATAAATATATTCAAATAAAGCAAAATCAAGTGAGAAAGTAAGAAAAAATAATCATGCATATTCACTTGCCCAAAGACTGGTAATTTACAAGCCTTTTAAGTCACGGTTTTCCATTCAACACCACGCGGGCTGAACTAGCTTTATAATAAAGTTCGGATATAACGCGTGCTGTCATTGGTTAAAAGAGCGTGCTCTATGAAAGTATAGAGCATAGAACTGAGCTAAAGCTGTCACGCCATCTGCCAAATTGTACTATGTCCGACGTTTTCCGGAACTTCTTTCTAGCTTTTCTCTCGTTAATTGAAAGTGAAATTTCGGAACAAGCGAGCAAAGGTTTGCAAAAATGCCAGGCGCAGTAATTTACGTTACTGTAACGTGAGCAGAGACAAAAATCCTCAAAGATAAAACAAAATGGACAGTCCGAGTTTTAAAGGTTTTCACACTCAGATTGCAAGTGTGCGTATGGTAAGAAAAATCAAACACAGCTAACACTTGTATAGTATATTTCGAAAAAAACAGGAATGATGAAAAATATAAATATATGGCATAACTGTTAAATTTCATACTAATCATGACGGTGTTAGAGCGACTGCGATCATGCTGAGGTCTATCGCGGCTAGCTCATCATGGCGATCTTCGGTCACCGCAATGGAGCAAGCCTCAGGAACTAAATCGATTACCTTTCGAGTGGAAAAATAAGAGCTTGCTCTGATAACCTTTCCGATGCCTTGTGTGGAAGGCCACATCAGTCACTGCAGCCGAGTTTTACGGCGCTGTCATTCCGAGCGATGAAACATCGCATGTCCTGGTGAATTCGTTTGTCGTTCATTCATAAAACATTCGCCTTGAACAGTTTA